GGACCAGGACGGGATGTGGAGGACCAGGATGTGATGTGAAGGACAAGGACGTGATGTGGAGGACCATGGCGTGATGTGGAGGACCAGGACGTGATGTGGAGGACCAGGACGTGATGTGGAGGACCAAGATGTGATGTGGAGGACCAGGATGTGATGTGGAGGACCAGGACGTGATGTGAAGGACAAGGACGTGATGTGGAGGACCAGGACTTGATGTGGAGGACCAAGATGTGATGTGGAGGACCAGGCCGTGATGTGGAGGACCAGCCCGTGATGTGGAGGACCAAGATGTGATGTGAAGGACAAGGACGTGATGTGGAGGACCAGGAGGCCGTGATGTGGAGGACCAGGATGTGATGTGGAGGACCAGGACGGGATGTGGAGGACCAGGACGTGATGTGGAGGACCAGGATATGATGTGGAGGACCAGGCCGTGATGTGGAGGACCAAGGTGATGTGGAGGACCAGGATATAATGTGGAGGACCAGGCCGTGATGTGGAGGACCAAGATGTGATGTGGAGGACCAGGGTGTGATGTGAAGGACAAGGACGTGATGTGGAGGACCAGGATGGGATGTGAAGGACCAGGATGGGATGTGGAGGACCAGGATATAATGTGGAGGACCAGGATGGGATGTGAAGGACCAGGATGGGATGTGAAGGACCAGGATGGGATGTGGAGGACCAGGATATAATGTGGAGGACCAGGGTGGCTGGAGGCCACTTTATAAAAGAATAAAAAAAAAGTAGTAGTAGTAGTAAATAATAATGATAATAATAATAATAATAATACACCTTTTTTCAATTGCAATTGAACAATGTTACTTTTGGTTTCAACATCTTCGAATGGAATCAACATTCTTACACTTGATTAATAACAATCTTTACTTTCCGTTCAACAATCATCCAAAACTTTTCAACAGTCGTTTAACACGTGACAATGTTTACTTGCTTTCAACAATCGTCTCATTCTTCATTGACAATTCACTAATACTTTCAACATTTTACAAAACTAAGTAACAATCTTTAAAACATCATAACTATGCAAAAAGTTTATGTTTTGGTGTTTTTCGTAGATCGAAAGACTAGTTGATCTAATACGAACTTTTGAAGCAAGTAACGAATCACCGAGTCGAGATGGTGTGCTACACACTCAGTATTTTCATTACGAGTGTGCAGCTTCTCCCGTATACAGTTCGTCGCCGAGCCCCTCCAGCATGCCACGGAGGCACCGAATAACAAGTGCTACAGATCGCGAGCGCATTATCGAGGCCTACAGAGCCGAACAAGATTTCCTCGTAGTTGCAGCAGCCCTTGGAGTTCAGCGCACCACGGCATACTCCATTGTGCGAGTATACCAACGCGAAAACAGGGTTGAAGCGGCTCACACAGGAGGCAGACACAAGATCATCGACAATGAAACTCTGGATCTAATAGTGATGCTGCTTGAAGCAAACCCTATGATGACCTTGAGAGAGATAAAGGAGGAGGTCATGGATATATTTCCTACGAAACCACATTTCAGTGAGGTAACGCTTTCGCGTTATTTGGAGGGGGAGCTGATATCACTGAAAATGTCCCGTGACTCCCCAGCAGAAAGAAATTCTCCCGCAGTAAAGGAGGCGAGACACGCGTACGCTACGTGGATGCTGGCGACGGGTCTACAGCAGCAACTAGTATACATTGATGAGACAGGTATATAATTATGTAACCACTTATCAACTATCTGTAGTATGTACTACATAATTACTTAAGTAAACTGTATGTAACGAGTGAGTACTTAATATTGATCTCAGTTTGATGCATCGTACAACTTTCCTTGTGTTAATGTTTAATTACATTACAGTATGACTATATACACTGATGTTTCATTTCCAGGGTTCAATCTGTGGACCAAGAGGACGTACGGCAGGGCAAGATGCGGGGAGCGTGTGCATCGCGCCGTTGGTGGACAGCGTGGCAGAAACAAGACAGTGATTGCTGCGATAGCTGAACACTGTGGAATACTCTATCACGAAATTCACTATGGTTCAGTGACGAAGGAAGTATTCAGTGATTTCATCGCATCACTTGCAGCAATAATCGGAGACGCAAGGTCCATACTTGTTCTAGACAACGCTCCAATTCACAACGGTATCGCAGCAGTCTATCCTGAGCTGAATTTCAAATTTCTCCCTCCATACTCTCCTTGTTTGAACCCCATAGAAAACTGTTTCTCTGTGTTTAAATCATACCTGAAGCAGTACCTCCACCGTGAAGCTCCACGGTGCAACGCGGCCCAAGCCAGGCAAGAAGGAGTGACTCTCAATGCACTGAGGGAGAACATTTTGCAAGTTGGCGTGGAATTTGCACTGCCTAGTGTCACGGAACATGTTGTGTCGCAGAACTATAACCATGTTAACACCTACTTGGTTCAATGTATTGAGCGCCGAGACATCTTCAATTGATATACAGTACTAGAGTATAACCTACTGCCTTACCGTTTGTTCCACTTGAAACAATTCACAACAAAAACCTTCTATACACTCATGGGTTCTTTTTTACCTGACAGGTTACTATTCGTGAGGCAGAGGAGGAAGGCAAGTCAACGGGATGCTGATATGACACTCCTCTCCCCAATCCCACTACCCCTCCCATCCTCACCTACCTCCATCCCTACCTTACAGCCAGGCAGAAACAACCCACCAAGGTGTACGAGGCCTTTACTTTGAATTGCTTCGTGGGAGTATCATTACACCAATGTATTTAGCTATTAGTATAAGGCCCTTTTTTCTTTGTTTCTTTTTAAGCAATCGTATGTTTTATGTAGCTACTACATACTAAAGACTAAAGACATTACATAATTACATATGTTTATACCAGAATTCATTGTGTTGTTGATATTTGTGTAAGTATACTCAAAAATTAAATATTCATGGCTGTTACTGATTTTAAAGATTGTTGAATAAATTCTTTTCAATGATGATTGTTTCAGTCGCATTGTTGAAAAGTTTGGTTGACTGTTGAAAGCAATCGGAGATATGTGGCTGTTGAAAGGTTTTGTAAATTGTCAAATCAAAATAACTGATTGTTGAATGGATTCGGAAAATAGTTGAAAGCAAATAGAAATTTGTCATTCCAAAATCTTGATTGTTAAAGGCAAGTGGTCAATTGTTCAATTGCAAATGAAAGAAGGTGTACTATTTGTAGTGATTATAAATATATAACTTGTAGGCATAAAATATTTACAATTAAAACTACAGTGAAATTGCATTCTTTACTACTACTACACAAAGGCATTTTCACTTAAATTACAGTGGAATGTATACATTTAGACAAAGGCATATTTTTTTATTTGCGAACATTTTAAGAACATTGTAATTATTTATTTTTAAAGATAGACACCAATCAATGCACAAGTTGAAAAATGTAGTGGAATGATATTATTTGTAGATATGCATATCTTTTTTTTACGTTACAAGCATTTTCTTGGTAACTAAGACTGAACTGCGAGTACACTGTTAAATGATCAGCGGTGTTGTTGAGATAGGGAGCGTGATCACATGTTTTCTACAACGTAAATGGTATGGTATGGCAAGTAGGTAGGGCTATAATTATTTTATGAAAGACAGCACAAAGCATAACTGTTATTACAGACACACACTGAATATTTACTCATATTTGAGGTAACATTATTTTTATTATTATTATAATTATTGGAACTCCCCACAGAGCGTTTTGGGTTAAAGGGTGGCGAATATGAGCGGTGGGGGGTGGGGGGGGGAGGGTCGCTGTGGCAGATACAAAGGGGAGCGAGGGGGCAGTGATGGAAGGGGTGCATGGAGGTTTTTACCTGGTCGAAGGGAAAGGGGTGGGGGGGCAGCCTCACACTCACACACATACACACACACAAGGACAGACAAGAACAGGCAGAAGAATAAGCTTTTTAGTATAATAGATCATCATCATCAGTAGAGGCAGTGTCATTAGTGGTATTTGTAACAGTTGCAGTAGTAGTGCTGTTGGTGGTGTCAGAAAATATGAGCAGTAAAAATTTCTTGGAGGACGAGGAGGAATGAGGTTACGTAAAGGAAAAGAAATATGATAAACAATAAGAAGGAGCTGAGAGAGAAAGAAGGAAAGGAAAGGGAGGGTGTGAAGGGAAATTACGGAAGTGGAAGATAAAGAACAGGGAAGGAAAACTGAGGGTAGGAGGTGAAGGAAGATACCTACGTCGCTGAAATAACTATATCTTGAACAGCCCACAAAAATTATATTAGTGTGCAGACGTAGGTTTGGGGTCATCATTATAAAGAAACAATAAATTTGATGATAGTTAATTCCTTACAGGTGGTGCCGTTGTTAACCAGACCAACACGGCACAACACAACCATAACATATCAGGCGTCGATGTCTATTGGATACGATTTATTTTGTATTCCCAACTGTTCATTGTTAATAGTTTCATCAGTCGATAATGCTGCCTACCACCTCACAGTGTGGTATATTGGTTCACATACACAACTATTTACTATTTGTTTACTTCTATATTACTAGTATTAAATTATCTGTAAATATTGTCATCAAATTTCATATGTACTACATACCATAACTTTCCAGTATAGTAGAATAACCAAGTCACAAACTTGGTCACAAACTTTATATGCAACATACAGCAAAAATGTGAGAAAGTGTGGAATAAAAACGTGTCAGCTGTGTTTTGTATTCTATACTTATATAACCAATACACTACACCAAAAGGTCTTAATACTTTGTCCCCCCCCCTCCCCTATTGGGCCTCCTGCAGTCGGGTCGCCAGGGAGTTCACAAGGCTTATGCAGATAACTGGCCGACGCTGGATGCTTTCCCATACTTCTTTCACCTTTGTCTTGACCGCCTCCCTGGTCTAACTATAGAGCCTCGCATTCTCGGGCCATAATTCCCCAAAGATTTTCAAGTGCGTTACAGTCGCACTCGTCTGTAGGCCAGTCAAGAATCTGAAAATCAGGGTAGCGAATGATTCAATTCATGACTGCCTCGCTGGTATGAATGGGGAAGCAGTCTTGCACCAGTTTGAGGTCATCCCGGGAGCGTGTATGCTGGGGCAGGAGAGAAATCTTGAGAATATTTATATATTCATCAGCATTAAGATGTCCGTTAATGGTGACCAACTCTCCGGTACTCATTGCCCACAACAGAACAAGTCGATTGAAGGTGTAGTAAATAAATATGGATGGGTCGACCAAAAATGGCTCTCAATATCCCATCTCAATTTTATGGAAGGATGACGTAATTTAGATTGATACTTCTCTTTTTTACAATCCACATGACATACGATCAAGCTTTTGGTGGATAACATTCCAGTTCAGATTGTTCCGTACAGTGTGTACCCTCAGCTGCCTAGATTCATTGTGTTTCTCACTCTTCTTTTATGTAGGATCTATATCAGTGTTGGACTTCTGTACACAGCTCCCCTTCCTCTGCCATTTTTACTCGAACTACAAATATCCCGCCAGAGGCAAGAGTGGCATCATTCCTTACACTGCCTTCACTTCTACTCTCTGTATGTCTGTAACCTTTTTGTAAGTTCTATAAACAGTGTTCCTGTGTTTCATAACTTGTCTGTTGTATCTTCACTACCTTTCGCAAAATACGTATTTTTAGGCTCCTGTTACCCCCAAAAATTATGTGAACGAGCTTAAACTTATCCTGGGCCAGTTCTTGTTTTAAAGTTAAAAGAAATTTTGCTAAATTTTGATGAACTTGTTCTTGTACAGGACCTGTAGTAAGAAAATGAATTGCTAGTACAAAGCCGTATGTAAGCTCTACACACTTGACTCAAAGGAAATAATTACTATTCAATAAAAAACTAAAAAAGTGTTACTATAGTGTGGTGTAGTGCACGTACTACCACCTACCCTCACAATTCACCCAAACCTTTGCATTTATATCACCCGAGGCAACAATTTCTTCACCATCCCTTACAGATTTGCATATCTCTCTCCCGAAGTACACAAAGAATTATTTTCCGTCGCGTCCTCCTTATCATTTTCTGGTAGACAGGCCCTTAAAAGCAGTGCTTCATGTACCTAGATTTTTTTTTATCGTACATTCAACATAAGAATTATGTGTCCATCTTTTTATTCACTTGTTTCTTAATATATAACCATACTTAGCTTTCTTTCGGCTTTACTATTAGCAGCTCAAGTTCAGAATGTCTACGCCCTCTTGTTACTTAACTCTCACACTAAGATGATCCATAACGAGGGCTAACATGTTATAACCAAATGAAGGAAAAAAATGACCAGTGCATAAAAGTGAATTTATTGAGTGGAAAGCTGTCTTAACAGGCAAATAACGTATAAAAGAGTATTAACATAACGAAGAGCGGCTACAGAGGGCTAAGATTGGTAACTTCTGGGCAGGCAAGAAAACGTTCATCACACACTTCTTGCCCCACCTGACTAGGTAACGAAAGTATATATATATATATATATATATATATATATATATATATATATATATATATATATATATATATATATATATATGTAACCGGTCGGAATTTACTGGACTTTAATTTCTCACTTGACTTGGGGTTTATTAAAAATTAATAGATGGTAATGGCAGTGGAAGCGCCCCTTTGAGAAAAATCCCGAACCAGCACAAGAACACTTAAATCTACTAAACAAAATGAATTGTCCGTGACCCGTGGAAGGATAGCGTCTGTGACTGGGATGAATGAGACACACTGTAAAATTTAGACACTTATATTCCCTCCAACACTACAAACACAATCAAATAATGGTACACCAATATGCGCACCTCTTAACTTGAACTTAAAACACTACTCTGGGGAATAAAAGTTATACATGATATAGAAATTATTAGAAACTCAGGCAACAATAAATTTGAAGTATTAAGAAATGTTGCTTGCACACATGAAACAGGCCTTAAGGGCTTTCAACAAAATAATATCAGTCACTGAGGAAATGGTAATAAAAAATAAGAAATTAAATACTCTACAATGAATAGGCCTTAAGGGCTTTCAACAACATAATATCAGTCTCTTAGGAAATGGAATTAAAAAATAAGAAATTAAATACTCTACAATGAATAGGCCTTAAGGGCACTCAACAAAATTATATCACCCCAACAGATGCACTCTTCCTAACCTAACTTAACCACTACTCTGGGGAACAAAGGTTATACCTGAGATCGGAATTATAAAGAAAAATTAGATGCATTAAAAGAATCAAATCACAGTATCACTCTGGTTCCACTTAATGACACAAACATTCAAAAACAATACTATCAAAATTATTTAGGAACTATTAAACTACACACGTCAAGATAATATCAGTCTGAGAAATGGTATTAACTAGACCCGTAATAAGGGAGATAAAATGTTCCTCTAGGTATCTCCTAGAGTCCTAGACTCACGGTCTCAGTGTGTGACCATTAATTT